GCTCTATGAGGAGGAATGTGGGATCAGGATTGGAGGAAGACTCATCAACAACCTACATGATGCAGATGACAACAACCTTGCTTGCCAAGACTGAGGAAGACATGAGTCTTCCTGCAGGTCAAGAACTACAGCTTTCAATATGAATTGAAGCTCTGGTGAGCTCTGGTGGCCTAGTGGCAAGAAGGTGTGCTGCAATCCTGGAGGTACATGGTTCAAATCTACCAGATGCTCTGCTGGAGAAGGAGGAACAATCTCCTCCTGTACCAGTCAGAACTGATTTGATGGTACACACACACAAAATAATAAATTTTTTTAAAGTTTTAAAAAATATGGATTAAAAAAAACATGGATTGAAGCTCAACATCGAGAAAACAGAGATTCTCACCACTGGGCCAATTGACAGCATCATGATAGGCAGTGAAGAGATTGATTGTTAACAGCTTCAGTTTGCTTGGCTCCACAATTAATATCTTGGTAATGGCAGCTAGGAAATCAGACAAATTGCACTAGAAAAGTCTGCTGTCTGGTGCAACCACCATGGAAACTGTTTGACACTTTCTCAAAAAGACCCAGCAATTCCACTACTGGGAATATACCCCAAAGAGGCCATAACTGCCACCCAGGTAGATGTATACACACCCATGTTTATTGTGGCTTTGTTCACAATGTCAAAGAGTTGGAAACAACCCAAGTGCCCATCAACAAATGAATGGATAGAGAAGTTCTGGTATATTCACACAATGGAATACTACACTGCATTGAAAAACAAGGAACTCATGAACTATTATACAAAACGAGTGAATCTGGAGGACATTATGCTGAGTGAAATATCTCAGTCACGAAAGGACAAATATTGCATAGTGCCACTGTTGTAAAAGGGGACTGACATCAGGGTTGGGGGGGAGACTGAGAAAGATAGGATAAATAATGTATACTGCATTGAAAGAGAGAGGGAGAGAACTGTTTAAAAGGGATATATGATTAGGTATTATTGTCATGACAGAAGTCCAGAATGAAGGCTGCATAGTGGAGTGGACTTGGGAGGAGGGATTGTATAAAAATGAAAGAATTTTTCTTTTACTTTCCAAAGAGAAGAGCAAACTGGGGCGGGCGGGGGGAGGTTGGGCAGGGAGAAAAGTGCAACAATGAATGAATAGAAATCCAAAGTATTTGTAAACTTTCATTAAAATTATTAATAATAATAATAAAAAGAAAATCCCCTCTCAGAGACCTCTTCAGAGTACTGAAGAAAATGGTGTGAGTCTGGAGACAAAGGAACACCTGATCCAGGCCATGGTCTTTTCAATGACTTGCTAGGATGATAGAAGGAGAATTGATGTCTTTGAGCTGTGGTGCCGGAAAAGAGTATTGAATGAACAAGTTTGTCCGAGAGAGGGTGAAACCAGGCTGTTCTTTCAAGGCAAGTATTCTGAAGCTCTGTCTGACATACTTTGGACATGTTGTAAGGAGGAAGCAGTCCTTGGAAGGGGCATCGTGCTCAGGAGGGTGGAGGGGCAGTGCAATAAAGGAAGACCCTGGGAGACGGATTGACTCAGTGACGGGGGTAATAGGGGTTTCAAACACAGTAAGGTTGGCTCCCAATAGAGCAGGATTAGGGCTGTTGTGCACAGGGTCGCTATGAGTCACAAGCAACTGGATGGCACGTAACAACCACCACCACAGTTTTGGAGACATGCATTTGTAGAAGGCTCATTCCAACATGTCACAAAACTGAGACTTCATGATGTCTGACATGTTCAAGCCCAGCGTTACGGTCACTGTGTCAATCTGTTTTCTAGAGGGTCTTCCTCTCTTTCTCAGTTCTTCCACTCCTGACACACATGCTCCAAGTATGTGAGATAATGTTTTACCATTTTTGCCTCGAAGGGGCATCCTTGTTGTACCTCCTTCAACACAGATTTGCTTGTTCTTTTAACAGTCAATGGTACTGTCAATATTCTTGACAGTTCGATACTTATCAACACCACCACAGTTCTTCAGTCTTCCGTGTCCAATATCCAGGTGCATCCAATGAAATGGAAGACCATGGTTTGGATCAGTCTTTGACCAACATCCTTGCTCCTTAGCACCTTAATGAGGTCCAGGAGAGCAGATTTACTTAAAAGCCATCTTGGCCCTCTCAGCACTGCAGAAAGCTCCTGAATGGTGTGGAAAATGAAGCCAAAATTTCTGGGCTCCACCTTCTAAGTGCAGGCTCTTTTGCAGGCTCTGCCCAGAATTAAAGAAATCTCAGTCTATCCAAAAGCGAGTGGTTCAACTCCATCAGCTACTTCATGGGAGAAAGATGGACAGTTTGCTCCCATGCAATTTACAGCCTCTGAAAGCCTGCTGGAGGCTCATCTCTGAGTCGGTCCAACTCAATGGCAATGAGTTTCACCCAGTTTAGGGGAGGTATGGTGCTATGGTTCCTAGCAAGTTGCACTGCTGACCCAAAAGTGGCATGCATCTCTCTGGAATTTCAAATCCACCAGCTGCTCTGAGGGAGGATGGGAAATCTCCCATCCACTTACAACTTTGGGAAACCCCCCTGAAGGATCAGTTATGATTTGGTTCTGACTGGGTTCAAGTATTTTGGAGATGGTGAGGATGGCCATAGAATAGGATGAGGATCATTCATTAAGGGTCACTTGTAAGTTGTAGTCAACTCAGTAGGCACATAACAACAAACAACAATGAATCTCTAGAAGCCAGAAATTCAAACTGGATTTAGAAGACTATGACACTAGGGTGATTTTTGCTGATATTAGATGGATCTTGGCTGAAATCGGAGTGTACTAGAAGGATGTCTATTTGTGTTTTATAGAGTATACGAAGATGTTTTATATGATGTTGTTGTTGTGTTGTTATGTGTTGTCGAGTTGCTTGCGACTCATAGCAACCCTATGTACAACAGCCCTAAACTCTGCTCTGTCCTGTGCCAATCGCACTGTCTCCAATACACCCATCCCGATTACCCGTCACCGAATCAATCCACCTCCTAGAGGGCCTTCCCCTCTTGCACCATCCCTCCACCCTTCCAAGCATGATGTGCCTCTCCAAGGACGGGTCCCTCCTTACAACACGTCCAAAGTATGTCAGACAAAGCCTCAGAATTCTCGCCTCCAAGGAGGAGCCCGGTTTAACCCTCTCCAGGATGAACCTGTTTGTTTGCCTAGCAGTCCAATACACTTCTCCAGCACCACAGCTCAAAGGCATCAATTCTCCTTCTATCCTCCCTAGTCATTGTCTAACTCTCTGATGCATAACAAGTGATTGGAAAGACCATGGCCTGTATCAGACATACCTTAGTCTCCAGAGAGACACCATTGCTCTTCAGTACTTTGGAGAGGTCCCTAATAGCAGACTTTCCCATCACAATATGTCTTTTAATTTCCTGGCTGCTGGTGCCAAGAGTGTTGACTGTGGAACCAAGCAAACTAAACTGTGAACAATCTCAATCTCTTCATCATCCATCCTGATGCTGCCAACTGGTCCAGTGGTGAGAATCTTTGTCTTCTTTATATTAAGCCTCAATCCATATTGAAGGCTGCAGTCCTTGACCCTCTTCAGCAAGCAATTCAGGTTCTCCTCAGTTTCAGCAAGCAGGGCTGTGTTATCTGCATAACGCAGATTGTTGCTAGATCTTCCACCAATCCTGATGCCACATTTCTCCTCATAGAGCCCAGGCTAATTATGGCTAATATTGAGAAGAATAAGAATCTCAGAACACTTAGCTGTGCTCACACACCATCCTATACCTATACCTAGACCATTGTGTAAAAATAGAAAGGAAACACTGCATGGTTTAAAATCAGGAAAGGTATGTGTCAGGGCTGGATCATTTCTCCATATCTATTCAATCTGTACATTGAGCAAATCATTCAAGAAGCTGGGCTTTATGAAGAAGAATGTGGCATCTATCAACAACATGTACTATGTAGAAGACACATCTTTTTTTGCTGAAAGTGAGGTGTACTTAAAGTGCTTGAGGCAGAAGGTCAATATGAATCATTTCTCAACATCAGGAAAACAAAAATCCTCACCAGTGGGCCAATAGGCAACATCATGAGAAATGAAGGAAAGAATGAAATTGTCAATGATTTCATCTTACTTGGATCCACAATCAACAACCTTGATACAGCAGGCAAAAAATGAAAAGACATGTTACATTGGGAAAATCTGCTGTCAAGGATGTCTCCAGAGTGCTGAGGAGCAATGATGTCAGCTTAATGACGCTGCACCTATTCCAATCCATGATCTTTTCAATTACCTGAAAATTGGACAATGACTAAGGATGACAGAAGAATACTTTTGCACCTGTTAGAGTTAGTTAGAGAAGAGTACTGAATAGCCCACAGACTGTCAAAAGAACAAACAAATAAATCTTCGAGAAAATGCAACCATGATGCTCCTTAAAGGCAAAGATGGCAAATTTTCATCTCACATATTTTGGCCATGTTGGTTAGGAGGGGCCGGTCCTTGGGAAAGGACATTGCACCTGGAAAGGTGGAGGGTCAGAACAAAGGAGGAAGACCTGTAACCACAAGGATTGGCACAGTGACTGCAGCAGTGAGCTCGAGTATGTTAGAAACGATGAGGATGGCACAGGATCGGACAGAGTTCAGGTCTAGTCATCATATCGCTGAGTCACAGTCAAGTCAGTCGGCAGTGAGTTTCACACAGTTTAAAGAGGCAAAGAAGGCCTCAGCAGGATGAACCCCAACATCCAGAGCTCTGATTAGATTCTGACTTCCCACAAGACACAGGAGGACCTGTTGGGGAAAAGAACTTTATTGGAACATTAGTGGGGGGAAACATGGAAAGGTGAATTCCAGGGAACAGCAGCCACTAGGAACCATAAATTAAGTTAAAAAATAAATAAAATGAAGGGGCCCCAAGCAAGGAGGTGGCTGGGGATACCCAGGGACTTCTTAGGGGGAAAAAAAGATAATTTCCAGGCTTTCCCAAAGGGTGTGAAATGAGTTTATCAGGACCCCCTCAGGATGGAAATTGGGGTTATGGAGCTTCAGGAAGATGAGGAAAGTCTGAGTTCTGCTAAAAGGATGAAGGGGCTGGGTTAGGGTCGTTCCTCCAAAAAGCGGTAGGTAGGGTTTTCGTAGCCATGATGCTGCAATTCACGGAGCTGCTGCTCCTCCAGGGTCAGCATTGGGTCCACCTGCAAACAGGGCAAGGGAGAAACAGGTGAGCAGGGGGAGACGGGTGAGCAGGGGAGAGACAGGTGAGCAGGGGGGAGACAGTGAACAAGGGAAACAGGTGAGCAGGGGGAGAGAGACAGGTGAGCAGGTGGAGATACAGGTGAACAGTGGGGAGACAGGTGAGCAGAGGGGAGACAGGTGAGCAGGGGAAGACATGTGAGCAGGGAGAGAGACAGGTGAGCAGGTGGAGAGGCAGGTGAACAGGGGGTGACAGGGGCAAGACAGGTGAAGGGAGAGACAGGTGGACAGGGGGGAGACAGGTGAGCAGAGGGGAGACAGGTAAGCAGGGGGAGACAGGTGAGCAGAGGGGAGACAGGTGAGCAGGTGGAGAGACAGGGAGCAGAGGAGAGACAAGTGAGCAGGGAGAGAGACAGGTGAGCAGGAGAGAGACAGGTGAGCAGGGGAGAGACAGTGAGCAGGGGGAGTCAGGTGAGTAGGGGAGACAGGTGAGCAGGTGGAGAGACAGGTGAACAGGGGGAGAGACAGGTGAGCAGAGGGGAGACAGGTGAGCAGGGAAGAGACAGGTGAGCGGGGGGTGACAGGTGAGCAGGGGAGAGACAGGTGAGCAGAGGGGAGACAGGTGAGCAGGGGAGAGACAGGTGAGCGGGGGGGGGAGGGGGGGGGGGGGGGGAGAGGCAGGTGAGCAGGTGAGCAGGGGGCCTGACCGCAGGTCTGACCAGCCCGTTCCCACCCAGGCCCTGGTGCTCTTCTCCTTGGGTCTCTGTGTCTCACCTCCACCACACCATGGCTGATAGCCCCATAGGGCTTCTTCTTGCGCAAAAGCAGCAAGGAGAGGACAATCAGGGAGCCACCACCTGCTGCCATGATCAACAGCCCAGAAAGAGCTTCACGGGACACTCCGGTCCCAGCCGGGGCCTGCAAGGAAAGGAGATAGAATGGGGGTCATCTTTTAGTTCCGTGTGCCCTTGGGGGTGACCACCTGGTCACTAGCTCTGAACCTCTGCCCCGAGGTACCCAGGATATTGCTCTTCTTACCAGCTCATCTCTTTGAATCTCCGATGAGTGGAAAGGAAAACCCCTTGGAACAGACATATTCACCTGGGGGAGCATGAGTTGTCAGGACCCAAGAGTCAAGCCCCTCTTCCCCAAGAATTCATCCCTCAGCCCTCTTTCCCCCTAAGACCCTGAAGTTCATGTCAGCTCCTCCTTCCTCAGACCCAGGGGTCCAGTCCACCTCTTCCAGCCTCGCCCCAGAGCCCAGAGCCCAAGCCCCTTCCTTCCCTCAGGACATACCTTCTGCTCATACTGCTCCAGGGGCGCTATCTTTTCTTTCACCGGGGAGTCAGCATCTTGTTCTGTGGACCCTGCCCCCAAAGGCCTCTCATTTTTGAGGGTTGAGGGGTGCTACACCCTCCTGAGGGAGGGGGTCAGAAGGGGCACTGGGCTACCATCCCAGGAGGTCTGGGTTTCCCAAGATTGAGAACTTTTTCCACTCTGGGTTTGGGAATTCAGTGGAAGCTTAGTGGCTGGGGGTGGAAGAGTCAATGCGATACTCACCTTTAGGAAGGGCCATGGGGGTATCTGCTGGGAACCAGAGGAGACAAGGCAAGTGAGATAGTGATGAGAAGGGGGTGTCATCAAAGAAAAGGGGCACTCTCCCAGGGACCAGGAAGAAGGATCAAGGCCTTAAAATCCCCTCAAACCTTAAGAGATTTCTTCCCACATACTCTTGATAGTCAAAATGTCCCAAGACTGTAAGGGGTTAGATATGAGACAGGGGACTTCTCTCCCAAGGTCTGGGGTCATCTCTATTCAGACTCACTAACCATCCTTGGAATCCAGAGGCTGTAGTCCGTCCTTGTCTTCACTGCTGCCCCCAGGGACAGGGGTCTCCAATTCAATGGGACCCAGGTGTTCTGAGTGGAGGAGTTCCTCTGGGGGAAACAGGTATAAAGGTGGCTAAGGCAGTCAGTATGGAGATACCATTAAACAAACTGGGTGAACAAAGGGCACCCTGATGGTGGAGTGAATGACAGTCATGCACAAAGTAGCCCTAAGTGTAGAGTAACCACAGGCAGACCTGAGAAAATCGCACAGGAAGAGATTGCCCCATCTTTCTCCTGCAGAGCAGCTGGTGGATTGGAGCTGCCTGCCTTTGGATCTGCAGAACAACTCCTTACCACTTAAGCTTCCCTTGCCAGAGAGGAGGGAGGTTGAAGTTTCAAGAGAATGGCTTCCTAAAAGATCAGGAGAATGGGGGTGAAGGGTGAGAAAGCCAGGAAGAAGTCACACTAGATCTGAGGATTGTAGTCAAACTTTTCTGGAAGTCATGTTTTTCCCTAAAGCCCTCGGCTTGAACTTGAACTGGATTTGCAACCTGAGAGCAAATTGCAAAAAATCAGTAGCCTGGTGGTAAATTGCACTGCCAACTCAAAGGCAGGCAGTTCCAATCCACCAGTTGCTCGGCAGGAGAAATATGAAGGCTATCTTCTCCTGTGTGACTGATCTCCAGCCTCTGAAAACCTGCTGGACAGTCAGCACAGACACACTCAGAAAAGACAGGTGGAAGTAAGTGGCCTAGGGGGACGGAGAAAGAGCAGTGAATGTCGGGAGTGATGCAGTGTGGTACAGCAGCCTGGACAGTTAGGACAATTTTGACCTTAGCATTTTAGTAACTAACCTGGTGCTAATCTTTGTAGAACTTTTTTTTTTAATTAGTTGGTTCTGACTTCACGGCAATGAAATGAGATTATTTAACTAACAGAATGTGAGCCCTGACAGCTCTAACTTTGGAGCTTTGGGGAACCTGGGACCATATAAGTTCAGTTGCCCTACTGGAAAGTCTATATGGGAGAAATCCAGGGAGAAGAGAGCTGCTGAGCACATCTGGAGAGGAAGAAGGGAAGTTCAGGCCAGAATCTCAGCACTCAGCTTGTCTGTTGGCTGAATGAGGTTGCATGCACATGCATGGTTATTGGCAAAGCCAGCTGAACCCAGATCACATTGAAGAGTTACGAGCAGAAAAAATGGTTGTTGACTTTAACCATGAAGTTCGGGGTGGCTTTTCACATTGGAATACAAACAAACCAACCAAAAAATGCACTGCTGCCAACTCAGTTCCAATTCCTATCAACCCTCCAGTGGGTTTTCCAAGGCTCTAATTATTTATGGGGGGAGATTACCCATCTTTCTCCCTTAGAAGTTCTAAATGGTGAATTCAAACTGCTGACTTATCAGTTAGACATCTGATGCCACCAGAGAAATGGAGGGGGTGGAGTGTAAAAAGTTGGGAGTCAGGATCTGTCCTCAGGGGTCTGAAATGGGACATCAGAAGTTAGGGACACTCACGAATCTGAGGCCAAAGCTCCTGAGCCAGCTGGGAGTTCTGGTATAGCAGGCCCAGGCTCTGATTCATCCTCTCCTCTATCACCTGAAGGTGTGTCTGCACCTGTGGGGAGAAGGAATAGGCAAGATGAACTGAGGGCTGGCAGGAGCTGGGGAAACTGAGGCAGTGTAAAGGAAGGAGGTCAGCAAGGTTCAAGGAAAAGTAACATACACCGTGAATAGGAAGTGGGGTACAAAGTTCAGGAATCAGGTCATATAAGGAAGAATAAGGAAATATGAGGATCCAAAGGAAAGGGTGTATGGAAGACAGAAAGTGAGAGGGTTGGGAAAGAATAAAGTTAGAAGAAAAAGGAATGTTTACTAGGGAAAGTGGAGCACTGAGCCCAGGTGACAGGCTACAGAGCCCAGGCTACAGACCAGAATGTAGAGGAGAAGGGAAGTGGAGGAGGAGGGGCAGGAAGTACGGTCTTAGGGACAGAGAGTGGGGTCTGGAGTCCAGGAGGGTGCTGGCTCCACAGACAGGGAGAGGGCTTGGAGGTTGACAAAGAAGTGACATAGTTCAAAGGCAGGACCTGGAGTTCAAGGACACATGGACAGGAAGAGACATCTTTGGAACAGGAATTAGGATCTGAGGGCAGAGAACAAAGCTTCCCCATCTTCCACAAGTGGAGTGTAGGGGGATTGAAAGACATGGGCAGCATTCAAGGCACAGGCAGGGGATTCTGACATGGAGAAAGGGGACCAGAGACACAGGAATGGAAAGCACCGTTCTGAGAGACAGAAGTCAGGGATGGGGTTTCTAAGGGACTGAAGTCTGATGGACATTTGGAAGCTTCAAGAGTCTGGGCACCTGGAAACGCATCTGCTGGGCCTTCTCCGGGTCCACGGCAGCCACGTGCTGGTAGTGGCGCAGCATGTGCCTCTGCTCCTTCTGCTCCGCTCGCAGATAGCGCCTCAGGGCCACCAGGACCCGCTCTGCCTATGGAAGGCACCCTGTTGCAGAGGGCCACACTACTTCTCCCCACCCTCCACCCTGTGCTCTCACAGCCCCCACACCTGAGGTGGGTCCCCCTGCAGAGCTGCCAGGAAGCCTTCCAGGGCTGCCCGGCGCTGGTCATTGATGAGAGCAATGACTCGGGTGGTGTGGGTCACCACCAGGCGCTGTCGCTCACCAGACACTTGTTCCTCCAGGGTCTGTAGGATGGACTGGAAGTGCTGGAGAAGGGGTAGGTACAGAGAGGGAAGGATGACTAGACGAATGGGTCAAAGGAAGTATAGAAAAGGAAAGAGCTAAAGGGTTAGATGGGGTACAGTGTGATGGGCGTAGGCCTCGGCAGGACCAGTCTGGGTGGTACTAGGACTGATTGGAAGTGAGTGAAACAACAGGGCCAGATACAGTGAGGAGAGGTGTAAGGTGGACCAATCTGAGGCTATAAAACCCATTCTTGTGGGTGGGAACTGACTAAAGCCAAGTGGTAAGGAGCTGCATTGCAAACCCAAAAGTATGTGGTTCGAATCCACCATGAGAAAAAAATGGGCAGTCTCCTCTTGTGCAATTTATAGCCTCTAAAAACCCACTGTAGGATCAGCTATGAGTCAGTTCCAACTTGAAGAGACACAATAACAACAGCAAAGTGACAGGGGGAAGGCAGGGTCCCAGAATAAGCAAAGCCAAACAGGAGGTAGGCTGCAACTAAATGAGACTGAGATGTGGGGTCAAGAGTCAGGCAATGAGAACAAACTAAGCAATAGGACCAAACTACTCCTTACGGAGTGGCCTGGACCAAAGTGAGAGAGATGGGGCTCTGAGGGTACCAGGCGGAAGGATTGAGTTGAGGATAGAGGGGTGGGAACAGTCAGAGGTGAGGCCTAACAGGGATGTGAGTGAATCAGAGATAATGAGAAGGACTTGGCTATATCCACAGGGAGGCGTGTCCTGAGAGAACAGCAGAGCCAGCCCTCAGATGGAAGGATCAAACAAGATAAGGCAAAACATGCCCATTCTGAGGAGACCAATGGCTGTTGCAAGCCAAGAAGTTGTTGTTGTTTTTGTTGTGTGTTGTCGAGTTGGAATCAATCCATGGCTGACTATCCAGCAGGTTTTCAGAGTCTGTTAACACACAGGAGGAGAATGTGGATCCAAATGTAGGGGATCAAGGGCAGAAGGTCTAGATGAAGTAGAAAGGGTGAGAGAAGTGTACCCCAAGTGGGAGATGAGCATAAGCAGGGCCAGCTGCACATTGTCGTACCTCATTTAATGCCTGTCTGTCAGCTTTAGGCAGGTTCTTGGACTGGTTGTCTGCCATGGCCCATTCACGCATCACCTGGGGCAGAGAGGGAGGTTCAGGATCCTAGCATCTACGCTGTACCATCTGGTGAGACCCCACCTCTCCTCTTCAGGGATGCTCGAGGTCCCAGTGCCTTAATTGCCACTGGCTCTTTGGTTTGCAAGAAGGAAGACTCAGAAGGATGTTTAAGTGGAAGAGTAATTAGAGTTTTCATAGAGCATGGTGGCACCCCAATAGGAGTCTATGCAAAGCAGGAACCTTGGTGGTCTTAGAAGGTGGTAATGAGGACCAGGGGCTGACCCTCAGGAACCTGGGGAATCTTGGAGGTTTTGTCAATGGGAACTTGGGGGTTTCTGGGATTTAGGTAGCTCTATGGGGTTATGAGGCCCCCAATATCATCATCACCTCATTAATCTGGCGCATCCTACGCTCCTCCAGGTCCATCTTGGCCCGTAGAAATCCCTCATGCTCACTGATTTCCCCTGGCATGCCAAAGTACACGTCTACACCATCTGTGGGCCTTGGGGTGGGAGTCACTGTAAAGCCAGGGATCAAAGGGTCAGTCTGTGACCTACCTACCTACAGGTTCCTACCTGGAGAACTACATTTTCCAGAGTTCCCTGCACACCATCTGGTACCCAGCTTAGCTATAACTGCTGCCTGGCATCACAGGAGACATAGTTCTGAGCCCAGTCTGTTCTTAGAGTTCTTGAGAATCTATTCAAGAATCTTGAAGCTTTCCCCAAATGACTCTTTAGGACCTACCAAATGGTCCTTTCAACTTCTAGGTACCCTCCAAATGAATTTCTCTTTTTGCTTTCTTCCCAGGCCAGCCCTTCCACCTATTTCTCCAATGTTAGACTCATCCCTTCCATTCTATTCAGATGATCCCTCCTCAAGTTGTCCCTCCTAAGCTTGCCCTTTCCACCAAGGCTCTCCAGTGCAGCTTCCCCCCAGGGTGGAGGGAACCAAGGGTCTAGAGACTGCCTCACCCTCGCTGATCCCTGCAGGAGTGTGGGAATTCGTGTGTGAGGCTCTTTCTTCCTCTTCCTCTTGAGCCTGTGGGGGCTCCACAAAGTAGTCATCCACTGGCTGCAGGAAGGATTCTTCCTCTTCCTCATCCTCACCCGCCTCTGTTCTGCTGCTCAGGGGCCACGATCGGGTCGAGGGGTCGCTGAGGGAGCAGGAGAAGAGCTGAGACAGTAAGAATACAGGCCAGGGGGCCTCTACGATGCCATACCCACCCCAGGAGCCTGGGGATGGAGAAGTGAGCTCTCCCACTCACCCAACAGCTGTCCTGGCTGGATCTGGGGTCGCCAGAGGGGGGCAGCACACATACTCCACACCCCTGTACCGATCCACACCACAGGGTAAAAGCATGCCAGAGCCGTGCAGAACCAGGCCCTGGGAGGTGCAGGCCTGCGGGAAGAGGAGGCCCAAATACAGCATTGTGGGTGGGAAGGGATAAAGGAGCAGGGAGTGGAAAATGGATTCCATATCTTGGAAGAATGGGCTGAGGAATAAGATTCCTAGGAGGAGGTTGGGGGCTCAGACCCTGGGTTCTGAGATGTAGAGGGCTGGTCAGCTTCTGATTTGGACAGACCAAAGTAGCTGGGGTCCTGGACGCCAGGGTCCAGAGGGAAGAGAGAGCTAAAGATCGATTCCTGGGTTTTGCGGGAGGATGTGGTTGGGCCGGAGGGTCTTGGCTGATGGAAGAGGGTCTAGCCGTCTGGAGTCATGGATTCTGGGGATCAGCAGCCTGACCTCCTGCGCCTCCTGATGCCTCCGAGTGGAGCTCTCGCACTGATCCATGCGCTCCTGGTGCAGAAACCGGCAGGCCTCAGGCACCAGCAAGGCCTCACTCACGAATTCACCCCCTGTGGAGAGGGCATCAGGTGAGACCAACCCTACCCTCCTCAGGACCCTGTGATCAGCCTCTGATCCCTTTCAGACCCATTCTAACGTGGGTCCAAGACAAACAAGGGTCTAGAATCCTGCCCTTCCAAGACCCCTCCCCTCAGTTATCTCCCCAGCCGGTGACTCACGCAGGCAGCGGAAGGGCACAACCTGATGGTGGGGCTGCGCGCAGCGGCCGCCCCGAGCACCCCCACACCAGCGTTCCATGGGGATGGCCTGTGCAGCCTGCTCCACGCGCACGATCTGCAGCTCCGGGTACATCTGGGGACACCGAGGGGGGAGATCAACTGGCTTCGCCTCCCCAGTCAGCTGGGCCTCCCCACTGCTCATATTCCTTTTCAAGGCGCAATCTCACTGCCATCGCATCACAACCCACTCATAGCTGACCCTCCAGTTCTCAGAGGCTGTAAATCGCCTGGGAGAAGACTGCCCGTCATTCTCTCACGGAGCGGCTGGTGGAGTTGAACTCTTGTTGGCTGCTAATGAGGGTGGGTTAAGAGGGCTGCTAAGAAGTCGGTGGTCGGAACCCACCATCCTCACCGAGGGAGGAAGATGAGGCAGTTTGCTCTTGTAAGTATTATGGTCTTGGAAACCCAGTGAGCAATTCTACGCTGCTCTATGGGTCGGAACCGCCCCGTGGCAACGGGGGAGGGCTAGTGTTCCTGAGGACCTCTTCTCCCTAAATCTCTCATTGCCACTGAGATGGATTTTCCAGGGGAAATCCTCCTCACCGGAGGAGATTGCCCAGCTCTCTCCCTCAGAGTCGCTGGAGGATCCGAACCAGCAGACATGGGCGTTAGGTTCGCAGTATAAATCCCTAAGGATTGTTAGCCATCTGAATGTCGTCTTCGGTGAAATGCCTGTTCATATCCTGTGCCCATTTTTCTATTGGATTATTTACCTTTATCTCAAGTATTTCATAAATTCTGGATATAAGTCCCTTATCTGATATGTTATTACCGAATACTTTTTCCCAGTCAGTGGCTTCCCTTTTTACCCT